CTTAATGTACATTTTTCAAATATAGCATTATAATATAACACTCCAATGTAATACCAAAAAATCACACTAATAGAAATGTAAATTTCAACACTCAACAGTCAACACTTCAGCCACTAATCCATCCAAAAAGAATCTTTTACATCGAATCTTTCTATTCTCATCCAAAAAACGAATCAAAAAATTTGAAAATAAATCACAAAAGGGCATTTACTTAAACTCAAATGGTACTAAATCAAAAAACATATAACTTTCCAAAACAGAAAGGATTAATTGGTTTATAAGAAAACTTTTAGTACTAGGGTGTGCTTGATTGGACGGACTGGAAAATGGGGGATTAGAATCCATCGGACTTGAGTCTTAGGACTGTGAATCCCCCGGACTATTTGGTCGGATTGGATATGTATCCTGTGTTTGTTTTTTCGTGGGATTAGATGTCTGGAAAAGACTATTTTTAGTGAATTCAACGTTTGGTTAGACAGACTGGATAGGATAAATGAACAAATGACTATTTTACCCTTTTTCAATTATTTACTAAGTAATAGCAATATTAAACATATCTTTAATATTTTAATTATTTTTAGCTAGATTAAATAAAAATTTATTTTATTTTATTTTTTACACAATTAAATAAATTTATTATTTTAAAAAATAAATAAATAAATAAAATAAATAAATAAATAAAATATCAATAAAAATATATATTATTATTTTTAATTAAAATTTTAAATAAATTTGTTTTTAAAAATAATAATAAAAAAATGAAATTAAATAAAACATCTATTAAATTTAAATAATGAAATTAAATAAAACATAAACAAAATTTTAAAATAAAACATCAATAAAATATCCATAAAAAATTATTTCAAAAAATTAAATAAATAAAACATCAATAAAAAGTTAAATAAAATTATTTTATTTTTAAATTGAGACATTTAAATTTTATTGAATTTTATTAAATATAATACATAATTAAATAGTAGAAGGTCAAAATGGTCATTTTATCATCTAATCCAAACAGTGATTCGTCTCCCCAAAACAATCCCACCCCCCAGGACAGAATAGTCCCCCATATGGGGGACATGGAGTCCGACGGACTAAAAAAAAAAATCAAACGGCGGATAAGGAGCACTATTTGGATTACAATCCAAATAGTGGATAGTCCCCTCCTTATCCCTCAATCAAACACGCCAATGGATTAACATTCTCCCATATGAGATTTATGGGTAAAATTTTCAATTATTTAAGGTTAAATTACAAATACACCCCTGAAGTTTACTTAAAGTACAGATTGTCCTATGTGATTTGGAAAATTATAAATACCTCTATGTTAGAATTTTTATTTAACAAAATTAACGAAAAATAAATAAAATTCATAATTGCCCTCCTATGCAATATCACAATTATCTAAATTATTAATTGAAATATATTTCTAACATCATTAAAAACTGTTAGTTAAGTTGATGATTTATTAATAAAAAGAGTGATTTGTTATGAAATTAGAAAACTCAGGGGTGAAATGTAATTTCTAGAACTACCCGAAGTGATTCGTATTTTAATCAGACCTCATGAGGTGTATTGGTAATTTATCCATTATTTAACATATATTATTATTATTGATAAATTTTTATTTTATTTTACACTGAAAATAAAATCTTACAACTCTCAACATAATTTTAGATCCAATCCAAGAGCCTCTCACAATAATTCGATTTTAACAACGATGGTCTACCGAGTTTAACCGACCAGTGATGTTATATATATCAATTAATATATTAATTAGTGTATCAACGTATGCTAAGACATTGTCATTTTAAAATTATGGACTCCATCCATTATATGAATTATAAAGACTTAAAACCTCTAAAATTATATCAAATCATCTATTAATACATTAATTAATATATCAATTGATACATATAATTTTATTATTAACCCAAAACGTGCTTCACTCATCAAGGACCACTTCACCAATAAGGCCGGCATTGAGCGAGATATGTCATGTAAAACACATTTTATGGAAAACTGCAGCAGTAAAGATCCTCTTTAGTCTTCTTTTTATATTGGAGAATGCTGTTTGAATATGTATGCTTATTACGGATCTAATTTTAATTGTTTGAATTGTTTATCTATTAAGTTATCTTTAGTTAAACTTTTAATAGTAATATTATAAATTTAAACTTAATTACTCAAAAATTATTTTAAATTATCATTTTGTGATTCATATCATTCTATACATAAACTCCACACTACATAAATTTAATTTCCACCACATAACCCACCCACCCAGAAAATTTTGGGTGAATATGTCTGGCACCATAGCATTTTTCAAATTTTAAATTGATTTGATAATTATGATCATAAAATTTCTTTATATTTATCTTTAAAAAAAACTGTTGTCATTCATTTAAATAAATAAATAAATATGAAATTACTTAAATATAATTATTGGATTTTTTTTCGTAGAGCATTTCACACTCCATAATGTGAATAATGGCGAAAGCTAGTATAGCAGTATTATATTGATTAGTGCCATCCTATTGATTATCAATAAAATTTATTATTAAAATTAGTGATTGACACATACGATACATGTTAAATTTGAATAAGTAAAAATAAAATAAAATATTTATTATATATTGTATGCCAATTAAGTGGTAAAACTTTTCTTAAACAAATCTAAGATCTAATATTTAAGTCTCATTTATTTTTTATTTTAATATGTGACATATAAGTACTATCGGTTAGCACATGTGACGTGTGCACAATTTAAAGAAATAAAAGAAAATTAAATTATTTACTATATCATATGTTGTGTGTTAGTTGAGTGGTAACTGTTATCTAATTTTTTGTTTTATAAATAGCAAATATAAATATAGATAGATAGAAGACAAAATGAGGAAAAGAAAAAAAAAATCAATTAATTGGATAAAAAGATATCACTTGGGAAAGTTTTCATGACAACGTGTTTGAAGGATCAATTAGGAATTATTGACACCACAAAATGTGAACATATGGAAAAAGACTACATGGAAAGTATGAGCAGTGAAAAAAAAAAAAAAAAAACAAAAAACAAATTAACCACCTACAACAAACACTTCAACATGCAAAATATAATTTTATAATGATAGGTAACAAACACTATAATATATTTAATTTTTTTTCATCAAAATGATTCATAGTATTATTTGTCACAAATAATTTGCAACATTTATAGCACAAAACCCAAAGTGAAAATTTTAATAATGGCCCTTAATAATTTTTTACATTGTAATTTTTTTTTGATATTATAATTTTAAAATTCATAGCATTTTCGATCAAAATAATTTATTTTTTTTATATTGATACTAATGTGAAACCCGTATTATGCACGGTCTTAAACAAATAATTAAAATTTTATTTTTGAATTTAAATAGTAACAACTTTAAAAGTTTAAGTTAAATGGTTAAAATCATTTAAATTAAGGCCTCGTTTGAAAACATGTTTTTTTAGTAATTTTTTGACTTTTTAGCTAAAATATGATATTAAAAAAACTGATATGTTTGGGATTATTTTTTGATTTTTTATAAAAAGATGTGTAAAAAGTAGAGAAAAAAAGAGGAATATTTGACTTTCTGGTATAGATTATTGGTTTTTTAATTTTTTAGTGACTTTTTAACTTTTTAGCTAAAATCACCACTTGCCAAACGAGGCCTAAGTTGTTTTTGAACTACACTCAAATGATATTTTAACTGTGTTACAATTAATGTTATATTTTAAGTATTATCTAACAACCCCAAGGGATTGGCCCACTGGGTGTGACTTGGGGTCTGTGAGTGTATTCTCCTCAGTTGTTAGATTCAACTCTCATTAGGTGCTATTAAATTCTTGGAGGTACGCTTATGGGTTTGCCTGAGATTTGTCCAATTCACGTGATAGAGGCATGTTACATATGTTCTGGAATTAATTAAAGTACACATAAATATTAAAGCAACAAAAAAATTTCATTTAAAATTAAAAGTAAATATATTGTTTTAAGTCAATTTCTTGTCCATAGCAACGTATTTTAATTTACAATGACATATTGAAACTCAAATTAGAGAATCAAATGAAAGAAAGTTAAGTAGTACTGACCCATTTTCCTCCACTATCTATAAATTATTTCACTAATTTCTCACCGCTTTCAATTGCCTTTTTTAGTCTCTTTAGTCAGCCACCTTTTTTTGTAACGCCCTTCTCCAGCCACCTTTATGACTTTCAACCCAACTCAACAATTTGCTACAGCTCCTGCCTATATTTTCCAATCTATCCCCGATTAACTAATTAAAGGGTTGTTTGGGATGACTTAAATAAGTGTACTTTTTATCTTTTTACGAAAAGATGTGCAGAAAAATAGAAAGATGATGTGATAAAAAAAAGATAAAAAGATAAAAAGTGTGTACTTATTTAGGATAGCCAAACTTAACCTAACTCTTTGTGAATAACATCATCAAATGTAGTTTTAAATTTTTTTATAAAAAAAATATCATCAAATGGTTATTTTTAAAGTTAAAGGAGATATTTGTAATTTACAAAATATCATGGAATGGTCGGCCTACGGAGAGTGTGTGGAATAAGATTAAAATTAAAATTAAGTCAATAAAAATAATTATATATATATGTATAATAAAACAAAATGATTTTTAAAAATATATAAAATGTATCAGAGATACATTTCATTTGAATGATCTAAATCAATCCCAATTAATATCTAACAATTTTTTTTCTGCCCAAACACTTTCTGCTCTCTCTCGCTGATGTCTCTTCAACTCTCTCTCTCTCTACACGTTCTCTCTCACGTCTCTTCAAAATGTATCAGAGATGAAAAATGTTTGAGAGCACTAATTAGTGCTCCCACTAATTAGGTGGTAGTGGATTCCGCCATTAATGATGTGATGTTTTAGTTTTGGAGTTGTATTTTTTTTTTAATGTATTAGTGCTATTAGTGGTGATGTTTTTAATGGGATGAATCATTGTTGATCAGAGATCAGGTTCTATTTCTCACGTCTCTCACGTTCTCTCTGCGATCATTGGCGGAAGCAAAAGAAATAGAAGCGGCAACAGAAGCCACTGTTCTTACATTTCCCTTTCTTCATCCTTCACCAACCGGTGCCCACGACTATGGCCAATCGCCGACAATCATCCGATACTCCTCTGAGCGCAAAAAAAAGTGTATAATCCTCTCTCTTTCAACGCCGCTCACCACTGAAAAGGAAGATCAGCAAACAACAAAAACCCACCTCTCCTTGCGACGACCACCGCTATTGCCAGAGACCCAAACCCGAACCCCCTATTTCCTATCCTCCTCCCTCTTTCCTCACCCCCCTTCGTCACTTCAGTCCTCTTCTCCTCCTTCCCTTCGAACTGGCAAGGTAAGATTGTTTGTTTTGATTTTGATTGTTTTGGAATCAGAAATTACGAAATCATTGTTGTTTTGTTGTTCAGCATCGACACCCACCCTTGCAAGGTAAGATTGAAGCCTCTCCTCTTCTCTATCTGTTTTTGTTTTTGTGGCTGTGTCTGTTTTAATATTTACAATTAATTAAACCCATTGAATAATAAATTAGTTTATCTGTACATTAATTGTTTAATTTTTGAATAAAAAGAAACGTAGTGAGGTTATAGAGTTTTTGATTGAAGGATTGAAGAGATATGTAGTCTAAAGTGGAAACAGAGGAATGGACTTGATAGCCGCGGACATGGAAAAGAAAGGTAATAGGAGACCTTGATTGTCATATTCTTTGTGATTGTAAAGATATAACGATTTGGGTTTGACCATTTTCATGGTTTTTAAGTTTCCTGTTATTTCTGACCATGAAGACGGGTAATTGTTCATAGTGATTTGAAGATTTATATAGCATCATATATGTAATGTAATGTAATGTTCATACTTAAAGATGGCAAGGCTGTTATTTGCTGAATTGTATGTACGTTTCTGTTGTGCTTTGACATAACCATGAAATGAAGGTTTGTTTGTGTGGAACTGAATTTGATTTTTGTTTAATTTCTTTACATTCTCAGTGATTATACCGTACTAAGTGTTGGCTCCATCCACTACCCACATGGTAATGAGCCCACCATTCACATAGTGTAGGTAGCACCATGTTGTAAAAGACGGTGGTGGAGGGCTACACCAACTCACTAAAGGAAGATAGTGAGGGTGGCACTACCTTGGCCAATTATGGCTAGCACTTCACCTACTCCTCCTCTCTTGGTTATAAATTGAGATGAGTGAGGAGAGGTTTGGATCATCAGAAATTGGAGAGTGAGAGCTGTGAGTTGAGTGAGTTTCATCTCCTCCTCTGTAATTGTATTTTTGCTCCATTTTAGTGATAATTCTCATTTCTGTCCGTGGATGTAGGCATTGGGCCGAACCACGTAAATATTGTGTTCTCTGTGTGTGTGAGATAATTCTCTGGGTGTCTTTGATCCTAACAAGTGGTATCAGAGCCTCGTTGGTGGCGTTTTGGAACAAAAACAACGTGTTGTTCGAAACTGCCCAGAAATCGTATTGCTCGAAATCAGTTTTTGAGCATACTAAGAGAAAGGGCTCGACGAGAGGAGTCCAGAAATATAAAGCAGACACCCAACGGAGGCCGGACGCACCTTCACGCGCCCTTGGAAGTTGGCGCGTGAATCCCAGTCGTGACACGCGCCTCCACGCGCCGTTCAGGCACCCGGCGCGTGATCCCAGTCTCACCTACGCGCTCCACACGCGGACAGAGGAAGACGACGCGTGATTGCACGCGCGACACGCGCCACACGCGCGCGCACCAAGCCGCCCGAGCCGGAGCCGCGTTGACCGAGCCGGAGCCGCTGACCAAGCTGCTGACTGAGCCGATGACGTCAGCCTGACGTCAGCAGAACCAGAGGAGTAATCTGGTGCTTCGCAGGCGCACCAGATTCTGCCGATCTGAACCGTTAAAATTGTTTTGGCTTAATCTAAGCCATTTGAGGTCCGATTTGGATGATCCAATAGTGCTTTCCAACTATTTAGAATATTTCGGACACATCCGTACGGTCAGATTTTTCAAATAAGCTTTCAAAAATTTGCAGTTTTTATTTTGGCAATCCGAAGTGATTTTCCGGCTAATTTGAGCCGTCCGGACTTCACAGCAAAGCCTATTTTTCAAACAGAGATTAGTTTCTGGATGATGGAGGATTCCACATCAGTTTCAGGGCCGATGATACGGTTGAACGCTTCTAATTATGCGATATGGAAGCCGCGGATGGAGGACGTCCTGTATTGTAGAGATTTGTTTGACCCTATAGCGCTAAAGGGGGTCAAACCAGATGGAGACAAGGATGGAGACTGGATAAAAACCAACCGGAAGACTGTCGGTCAAATCAGACAGTGGATTGACCACAGTGTGTTCCACCATGTTGCCCAAGAGACAGACGCCTATGCCCTATGGATGAAATTGGAGGGCATGTACCAGTCCAAGACCGCACGGAACAAAGCCTTGATAATGAAAAGGCTTATAAACCTGAAGCTGAAGAATGGTGTGTCTGTTGCTGAACACACCAGTGAATTCCACAGCCTTGTGAACCAGCTTGCATCAATCAAAATGGAGTTGGAGGATGAGATGCAAGCATTATTATTACTCAGTTCCTTACCAGACAGCTGGGAGACGTTGGTGGTTTCTCTCAGTAATTCTGCACCCGAAGGGAAGCTGACCATGGGGATGGTCACAGACGCCTTATTCAACGAGGAGGCAAGGAAGAAAGAGATGGAAGGAGAGCAGTCCCATGCCCTTGTCACAGAAAGTAGAGGCAGAGATAGAGAAAGGGGCAGAGGTAGAGAAAGAAGTAAAAGCAGAAGGCATTCACAGTCCAGACAGGGCAACACGAGGGGATGCTTTTACTGTGATCAAGAGGATCACGTAATAAGAGATTGCCCAGAGAAAAAGGCGGACAGACAAGCCAAAGAGAAGGCTAAGGGACACGGAGGTCCCTCAACTACAGCAGTTGCAGTGCATTCCTCTAACGATGAAGAGGTGATGCTTACAATCTCGTCAGAGTTGGAGACACCCGGCTGGATTTTGGATTCAGGGTGTACGTTCCACATATGTGCGGATAAGAAGATTTTCTCCACTTATCGAAGAGTCAGCGGTAGCACTATCCGGATGGCCAACAACACAGTGAACAGAGTTGTCGGCATAGAGACAGTGCGATTCCTTACTAAGGATGGAAGAAAAGTAATTTTATCTGAGGTCCGACATGTGCCAGGAGTACGGAGGAATCTAATCTCCCTGAGTATGCTAGATCTAAAAGGAAATTGTTTCTCATCTAGTGGCGGGGTTCTTCATGTACGCAGAGGTGATAGAGAAATGTTGCAAGGCAAATTGTGCAACAAACTGTACAGACTGGAAGGAGAAGTTTTGACAAAGATGAGTGTTGTCAAATGCCAGTCGAAGGGTACAAAGAGAGAACATACGCAACCAAAGCGTATGATTCTTCTTTTTTTGTCTACTCTTCTTTCTGTTCTCTTTCTCATCTTGTTAATTACATTTATATTATTTACTATAAATTACATTAATATAATAATATATAATATTATTCACCCAATAAAATATTGTATAATATAATATATCATAAATAATATAATTTATTTTATGTCTAAAATAATTTTTCTTTGTTATTTATATTTTTTTTTGTTATTTTTTTTAACAAAATCTGTTATTCCTTAACTTTTTTTAACTTATCTTCATATAATAAATATATTTAAAAAAAAACTATTTACCGTATCCCCGTACCTATATCCAAATTTAGATCCATATCCACGCATTCTCAATTTTTAATTTTGAAGTGTCTGACCCTTAAATATGTACCAGCACCTGATACCCCACACCCGAATCCGTGTAAGGTAGCCACCAAGTACATAAATTAAAAGAATTTCTTATAACAATTAGTTTGAATAATAAAACTTGCTTACTTCTGCTGCGACTGAAAGGCTACACGGGCTCCTCTGACCTTTGTGCTCTTGAATCACCTTAAGCTGAAAAAGATGGACACCAAATATTACTGAATTCTCAGAAAAATTTCCTTCAAAATTGACATGGTTTTCATTTTAAAACAAGCCTCATTGATTCTTTAAAACCAGCATTTAAAGAAAGCATATCTGATTCTGGCATGGAATTGACATTTATGATATAACCTCATTTTTTTCTTTTCTTCGAGGATTGTGAAAATCAAAATTTTCTGGTTTGTGGAGGGGATGGGGATCATTTCTTATACAATGTTCTGTTATCTATGGAAAAATGCAGAGGAATGTATGCATGCAATGCAAGTCCACAGCTTTCAAAGAAACTAACCTGTCCATTTTTTTTCTGGAACACAGCGTAAGGCTATGTTTGGATTATAAATTTGGCTAAGGATTTAGGATTTGAAAAAACAAAAGAAAAAAATGTGAATGAAATATAAACTGATTTTTTATTTGTAGTGATTTTTTTTCTTCTTTTTTGTCGTACAGTGCTATTTCCCTAATGAACCATGGGGGAAAAAATATTTGGCACATGTCGCCTTCTTTTACAACTCGAACCAACAAATAAATTGTCTATTTTGAATATCCCAACACTTGTATTTGTCTGAGATGCAGCAAAAATATTACATTTCAATTTGCCACATGGCTTGGTTAGGCAACCAAGTAATTTTGTAGCTTGATTGTGCAACTCGTACACTGAGGAAAACGAAATATGTCTGCATGACATTTCCATGTACTAATATATCTACTTCTAAGATGTTGTAACGAAGAATTGAAAGAAGATTTTACATTTTCTTATTATGGTTTTTAATTAACAACATTTACAAGTGAGGCTCATCTCTGTATTGGTGTTTTGCTAACTCGGGCATTTCCTGATATTGTTTATCAATCCAAGTACAAGTGAGCCGGGGGCTGATTGTATTGTTGTTTGGCCTTGGAGCTAGGTATGAAGGACCATGGGCCCTACGGGGCCATGGTGCTGCCTGTTGCAGGGCTCTTCATATCTAGATATATTTGGGCTTGTATATATGCTCCCGCTTAGGCTAAGCATATAGTTTTGGTTGCCTTGGCACATGGCGCCTATAGGGCTCGCCATGTATCAAACATACGACATGCCAGACGTGATGCCTTATTGGTCTGCCACGTAGGTGGGGTTTTGGTGATGTGGCACCTGTAGGGCTTGCCACGTATTGAGCTTGATACAAGTACCCACACAAGGCAAACTAAATTTAAGTCTAGGAGGATCTAGAATAGCATAAACCAGCAGTAGCACTTAAAACCAAGCCATAACAATCTCACACCTGTGTGCAAGTCCTCTTGACCAAGCAAAAATAGATGCTATGCTATTTGTGCTAGTTTCACCTCTCTTCTGACGAACCCTATAATGACAAGTGACTATGCCATGGGTTGCCTCGGCTTCAATGGTCTTTCCATCTGGGCACACCTGCAGCCCATCCATATCGTTAAACACTTAGTGAGGAAGCACATAAAAGAATGCATTTGAAGAGAAACACAAAAATTGACACAACAGATATACCAGCACTGATGCTATCAAACCAAGAGAACCAAAACCTGTGACAATGGGAAATAAAAGTCTGAGGGAAATTAGGTAATTTGAACTTTGATGAGAAAAATAATCTGATCTATGGCATTGCCTCAGCTATGATGTTCCCAAAACAAAAAATTAAACATTCAATTCCACAAGCAGCATTAATATTCACAAATAACGAGAGCTTACTTGATAATCATTACCACAAAATTAACTAACCTTGTGCTAAAAGATCACTCTGAACATCTCCATCATTATTCTTACATGCCCACACATAATCCTTCACTCTTAAGAGCATAAGCAACCATATCATCAAAACATAGCTATTGCAGAAAATGTAAACATGCGAACTTCAATTACTCAATTATTCTTCTTTTTTTACTCAATTACTCTTCATTTTTTTTTTTTTTTTTTTTTTTGAGTGTGTGTGTGTCTATTCTTTGTGGCTTCAGTTCTTTAGTTTTTTGCTTCCACATTTGGTTCTATCTGTTAGATTTGTCTGGGTTTTGTTTTTACGCCTTGAATTTTTGGTCAACTAGTGATTATTAGGTTGAATTAGGGTGGGTTCGATTTGGTGCGATTTGTAATGGACAATTGTGATTTTGATTTGAAGTGGTTATGATGAATTGTTTATTTTGATTTTAGTTTGGATGGTGAATATATTTTTTGGTCAACTGGTGATTATTGGGTTGAATTAGGGTGGGTTGAAATTAAAAATCTAGATATTTGATAGATTGGGGTAAATAGTAGGCTGGTTCTGTTTTTTATTAAATAGAATGATCATTTTTTTGTTTTCTAATTTGTGGATGTGTCTGTTCAAACCCCAAAACACAGGTACTTCAGTTCTTCAGTTTTTTGCTTCCAAAGTGATTTTTTGGCACTAGGTTAGTTAATTTTGTGTAATGATTATCAAGTAAGCTCTGGTTATTTGTGAATATTGACGCTGCTTGTGGAATTGAATGTTTAATTTTCTGTTCTGTGGACATCATAGCTGAGGCAATGTCATAGATCAGATTATTTATTCTCATCAAAGTTCAGATTACCTAATTTCCCTCATACTTTTGTTTCCCATTGTCACAGGTTTTTGTTCTCTTGGTTTAATGACAGCAGTGCTGGTATATTTGCTGTGTCAATTTTTGTGTTTGGTAATTTGATTTCTCTTTCTCTCATTTTCTCTCTATCTCTATTTGTTTTGGGCTCTCATTTCTGGAATAGTTATGTTCACATTTTCTGCAAAAAAAAAAAAAAAAAAAAAAAAAAAAAAAAAAAATGAAGAGTAATTGAGTAAAAAAAGAAGAATAATTGAGTAATTGAAGTTCGCATGTTTACATTTTCTGCAATAGCTATGTTTTGATGATATGGTTGCTTATGCTCTTAAGAGTGAAGGATTATGTGTGGGCATGTAAGAATAATGATGGAGATGTTCAGAGTGATCTTTTAGCACAAGGTTAGTTAATTTTGTGGTAATGATTATCAAGTAAGCTCTCGTTATTTGTGAATATTAATGCTGCTTGTGGAATTGAATGTTTAATTTTTTGTTTTGGGAACATCATAGCTGAGGCAATGCCATAGATCAGATTATTTTTCTCATCAAAGTTCAAATTACCTAATTTCCCTCAGACTTTTATTTCCCATTGTCACAGGTTTTGGTTCTCTTGGTTTGATAGCATCAGTGCTGGTATATCTGTTGTGTCAATTTTTGTGTTTCTCTTCAAATGCATTCTTTTATGTGCTTCCTCACTAAGTGTTTAAGGATATGGATGGGCTGCAGGTGTGGCCAGATGGAAAGACCATTGAAGCCGAGGCAGCCCATGGCATAGTCACCCGTCATTATAAGGTTCATCAGAAAGGAGGTGAAACTAGCACAAATAGCATAGCATTTATTTTTGCTTGGTCAAGAGGACTTGCGCGCAGGTGTAAGATTGTTATGGCTAGATTTTAAGTGCTACTGCTGGTTTATGCTATTCTAGATCCTCCTAGACTTAAATTTAGTTTGCCCTGCAACCTTGGATTGAAAATAGCCATGTTGATCTTAAACTGTTGGATTTTACTCAAAAATTGGAAGCAATTACTACAACAAAAGGTATTTTTAATAACATTTTTTTATAGCATTTTTTTATATTTGCTATCTAATATGACACATCTACAGCATTTTCTAATAAAATAGTATTAGGTGATAACACTATATTTTTTATGTCATTTATTCTAATTTTAATAGCTTACAATTGTTGTTAAAAATTAAGCATGCTTATGATTTTAATGGCATTTTGTAAATGTTATAAATGAAAATATACTGCTATCTGAAATATTAAAATTTAAATTCCAAAATTTTAGCACTAAATGACTTTAAAAAATGACAATACTATATTTGTTAGTTTATTTTTTTTAATATCTTTATCAAAAAATGACATAAACTTCACAAATTTCAACATGATACGTATAAATTACAATTCACCGTTTATTTTTTTTATACAAAATTGATTTGATCACGTAACTATCGATGTCTGATCAACGTAATATTTTACAAGCATATAGTACTCAGCAAGTTCTACATATTAAACGGTTCGGATTATCGAAATGAGATCTGCGGTGGGCCCACCATGGGACTGGATGGAAGCCAGGCCCTTAAAACAATATGGATGTATATGTACTCATTTAAGTAATTCACATATGAAAGTACAAATCTCTCCATACACACCATCATCTATACACTATATTTGGAACAAATCTCTCTTCCAACACTCATTCAACATTGTTTATCTTCACCATTATAATCTAACACAGTACACTCATCATCCTCACCATTATAATCTAACATTACACTCATCATCTTTGCCACTATAATTTTCATTATTATTTTCTCAATTCAAAATATCACTGCCTTTGAAGATTTAAGATTTTAAGAATATTGAAATCAATCGATTTTGATTTCAAGATTTGCACACCATGGATGATATTGTTGATTTGGAACAATATAACAATGAAAAGGTCAGTTTACTTTTTTATTTATCTCGTACATATAGAAGATGACTTTTCGTTCGTCATGTATTCAGAGAACCATAAATGAACATTTATAAAATGTTCAATTATTTATATTTGAACAAAATTATTTTGTTCATCCAATTTTATACATTCTTAGATACAACATCTAAGTCGAATGGATACTCTGTAACTAAAACATACAAAGATGTTATAATCAAATAAAGATGCCCAAAGGCATACATCATATACAAAATGTGTAACCCTTGCAAGAATAGCACACGACCAACAAATACATAAATGGCCCTTGGCCGATAAATAAAGGAACCACCCTACACGGTTCCAAACACAATTTTAACGTCTCAGTCCACATCCGCATAAGCATACCTGAAAAATATTTTCAGCCATGTAGGGTGAGCATAAAGCTCAGTAGGAAATATTTCAAAAACTAAATATGCTCTACCAGTGCAAATGATCATGAATGCAATACATACAAATATAATATGCTCAATGCATTCTCAAATCCACTTATTTTCTCAATAAAAACCCTTTCTTCCTAGTTTTCAAAACCTTTCGTTTATTCAAAATGTTTTCCGAATTTAATATATTAGTTTGATATAAAATCCATTTTCACAAGTCAATCCAGGTATCTCAATACCAACTAACAATTTCATTGCCAATTCCAATACGAACACATCGTTAACCAATAGCAAATACATTGCTAAAACTGTTTTAAAATCATTTCTTTCCAAAACCAAAATGATAATAAATAAAATGGGTAAATCTCCAAAACTAATACAACTTTTCACAGAAATTTTGTCCGCGGAAAACCCTCAAACGAGACCCATGTAAACGTAGGCTATACAAGCACTATCATTACCATTTTATGGAATTTTCGTCCACGGGAATCGGCACCCATGTATATGCGTGTTTTTTAGGACTTTCACCCTGGACACACAGGCCAACGTAATTCAATTGAGTCCATTCCATTTATTCTCTCAAACATGCAGTACATCCATTTTCTTCTCCCAAACATCATACAATTACAATGTATTAAAACATAACCATATTCAATGACAACGGGTAAGAGATTAGTTTCCTTCTCCCAGATTTACCATTTTATTTACACTTTCCAAATAGCACAATACATATGATAAAAAATATGATTTTCAAAATGAATAAATGCTCTTAAAACATAACACAAGAATTTTCAAAATCTCTTTCAAAAACATATAGTTTAAATTCTCAAAATCAATTACATGCTCCATGATCTGCATGATTTATAAACAGTCCAGTTTGCCTAGTCCACATGCAATTTCTACAGTAATCATAGCTATCCTCCACTAATAGCCCAAAACAAATATCTCTAAACAGATGAATAAATTTCATTAAAGATACTCTTTTCCAAAATCTCAAATGGGAGTGATAATACATATCAAACTCCACCATCATCATTAATCATCATTTCAATTTACATTTCTCAACATTTATTTCATTTCCTCTTTACAATCTCAACACTTACATTTTAGGGCATAATCTCTTTCCTCTTTGAAAATCCATTTCAATGCAAGAAATATCTCATTTTAACATATATCAACTGCAATTTCATAATCACAACCTTTTTCAAGAAAACCTTTGAAAATCCCTCATTTATATTTTGATTTAATAATCAAACAATTTCCCCAAAAGATCAACATTTTAGGGTTTCTCCAAATTAGCGCTTTTCACTTTTAAAAACTCATGTGCATTTTTGTAAGTGGAAAATAAGCTTTTGTAGCTAAACCATAGCTCAACAATCCCATTTGGAACTAACCCTCACTTACAAAACAAATTTTCAAAAATGAATCCAAGAACAATGGAATCTATATATTTAAAATACACCACAAATACACTACCGAACTCATATTGAGTTTAAGAAATAGATCCTACCTTTTGAAGCAAGAAGGAAACAAGTCGGAAAAATCACTGGCGACGAAATGATGATCCATTGAGATTAAATGGAAGCCCTCGTCGTGCTCTATGTTTTGGTATATGGAACTAGGGGTCAAAGATGTATAGAAATATATGAAATCAAGCCTAAAAAGCTTGAGAAATAAAAAATGAGTGCAAAGTGGAGGGGTTTGATTCAAAAAGTGACTTTTAAAAATCTTATTCTGCATTGTACACTCGAGCGCACTATGCTTACAGTACAGATTTGTAAATTTCAAATAGGTATATCTCTCTTGTCCGGACTCCGTTTAGGGTAGTTCTTATGTGATTTGTGAAATCTTATGCATTTTGCGTTGTTTTAAAATTTTGAGAACAAAGTTACACGTTTTTGTGAAAACTTACTCATTTTTGTAAAATCACTTACGTGATTTGTGAAAACTTACACATTTTGTGTTGTTCTACATTTTTTGGAACAAACTTATGCATTTTTGTGGTCAGTTACACATTTTTGTGAAATTACTTGCGTGATTTGTGAAATCTTACGAATTTTATGTTCTAAATTTTTGAGAAAAAACTTATGTGTTTTTGTGTTCAGCTGTGCATTTTTTGAAATCACTTATGTGATTTGTGAAAACTTATGCATTTTGTATTGTTCTAAATTTTTGGGAACAAATTTATACGTTTTTGTGAAAACTTATGCAATTTTGTGTTGTTCTAAGTTTTTGGGAACAAACTTACGCGTTTTTGTGTTCAGGTACGCATTTTTGTGAAATTACGTAGTTTGTGAAGGCTTATGCAATTTGGGTTGTTCTAAATTTTTTAGAATAACTTACGCATTTTTATGTAAAACTACGCATTTTTCTAAAATCACTTACGTGATTTGTAAAAAACTTACGCATTTTGGGTTGTTTTAAATTTTTGAGAACAAACTTACACGTTTTTTGAGAAAAACTTACGCATTGTTGTGAAACTACTTACGTGATTTGTGAAAACCTATGCATTTTGTGTTGTTCTAAATTTTGTGAAACTACTTACTCGTTTTTGTGTTCAATTACTTATTTTTGTAAAATCACTTACACAATTTGTGAAAACTTATTCAATTTGTGTTTATAGCGTTTCTCGTTTAAACTCGACCCATTTGACTTTTGGATTCAGGTTTCTTTTCCTTATATACTTGTTCTTGCCTTGTTTCCCACTATTTCTCCTTGAGTTGGGCTATTGAGTTGTGTTGATTGTGTTTGGAACAAGTTAGTAGCTTGTTTTTCAAAATTTTGTTGCCCAAAATTTTGTTCCTTCACTCGAGCGAAGCTTCTTGCGCTCAAGTGGTCTTTGCGAACATCCAATATTTTTGCAGGTCTGCAAAACTACTAGGAGTTTGTATTTTTCGCTCGAGCGAAACTTCTTACGCTCGAGTGACGATCTCTGTCTGCAAAACTACTGGGAGTGTGTATTCTGCGCTCGAGCAAAGCTTCTTGCACTCGAGTGGAATAACTTATTGTGTCTAGTCGCTCGAACGACACATCTTGCGCTCGAGCGAACTGTGCGTATATCAGTTCGTAAAAACACTTTTCTAAGTCACTTTTTCACCTCTCTCTCTCTCTCTAAACATTTCAAAACACTAATATCTCTCTCTCTCTCTAAAACTCATCTCTTATTTCCCTCAAATACATCTAGATCCGTCGATCTTTTCACCCATGTGCCTTTGTTAAAAAGGTAGAGCTTGACGAGGGTTTCGTCCTAATCAGAGCAAAGTTGAATTTCGACATCTTTGAGTTTTCATCCCCCCTTCAATCATCCTCTAAGCTTGAGGTAGGGATATTTCCGCTCTTTCTATGAGTTGTAACTTAGTTATTTGTTATTTCTAAACCATATTGAGATCTTTGGGAGATTTGGAACTATCTAGGGTTTTGAGTAAAAATAAAAAAAAAGGGGTTTTTCAAATGGATCCTTGAAAATGATTTTGTTATGGAAGATGATATTGAGTTGGGGATGAATCGTTGATTTTGAATGTTGGAATTAATTTTGGAAAGAAAAAGGATTTTTCCCTAAATGTCTCAAATGTTGATTTTATATAAATTATGAGATTGATATTGGAAATGTGAAATTGGACTGATGTTGATGAGAATAGTGGAGTTAGATATGTATTATCACTCATCTCTTGAAAATTTAGAGAGTTTATCTTTATTGGTAATTGTTTATCTGTTTAGAAATAACTGCTTTGGCTATCGGTGAA